ACAAAAAATCATCATCAAGCAGATCAGTTGGTTTCATCTCCGACATCCAAACTCTCCGTTCCTGCAGATGCGCGATCAGCTCCCGCAAAGCCTCAAACCAGTGATCTTCGTGAGTAGCATCGAGAACAGCTGAAATTATAAACCGATTACAAATGCAAAACGTTTTGATTGCAACCGGTCAGATTCAGAAGAAAAAAGACGTAAAACATGAGTGAAGGAGTTTTAAAACTCTCAGCGGGAATGGTCTAGGAATGAAAAATCTGCAGGATGATTCAAGGTTCAATTGCACATAATAACGTACGTACTCTGAGGATATCACAGGTTTCAGTAATGAAACGCGTCAGTGAACAATAAAACATCATTGTCGATTGGGTTTTATCGCACCTCGATTAAAGTGCAGCGGCATCATCACAGAAAGATATTGGCTACACAGGTGGATAAAGGATGCATTAACATCTAGTCCTGCGAAAATGTTAACCATGATAAAGGATACGAACTGTGCCCGGATTGGATAAGCCTCGTTGTCCTCGCCGCCCAAAGACTATTTAACCAACAGCAAGGATGGAAAGCTTGCTTTCTGGCTCCGAAAGTACCGACTGCTGCGGACGACTAACCACATTCTCGAAGCTTTGCCACCAACCTATAGTGAAGAAGGCCAGTGAGACACGGGCCGAAACGTTGGCATTGGTTAGTCACCAGAATGACTAGAGTATCTTTTGCTTACAAGCAAACCGTTATGCGCTATTTTTTTCAACCGGATGTTCAGAAATATGAGTCAAACAGCAGACAATTTGTACCATGTAGCGAATCTTATTCTTCTGAAGACTATCATCAACTTGAAGGTAAAGTACCGTACAAATGCACGTGACTTTCAGGTTTTAACCTCTAGGAGAAAAAATGTTTTAACAGGACTAACGACCTACCATACGGCATTAAAGGATCTTTCAAAACGTTATTCAAACAATACGCGTTAATCTAGAGGCTGATAAAAGATTTCAGTTAAAAACGGTATTAAGCCAATATGCGGTAATGATAGAAATAAAGTGAATTCTGCGCAACTATGAACCTAAACTGCTATTCATAAAAAGGGAAGGATATGAAGCTGACTTCATGGTAGCGATACTACAACGCATATATGCTACTGAACGACAGTTCTTATGGAATATCACTATTAGAGTATCCCAAACTTAGGGTTTTAACCACTATGGAGTTTTGGGCAAATACTACTTTATTAGGAAAAAATAAATAAAACATGCCAAATGCGACATGAGGCATGGCACAGAAAAACTAGCTGAAAGGAAAACTGGCGAAAAGGTTGAGACCATCGCAAAAATATTCTCCCTGATTATATTACGGCGCAAAATGATCGTGCCTCAGCATCCTTCACGCAGGCAAATATGCACTATTTTAGTCTGAAATCTGTTCATGTGTGAATTATTCAGCCAACTTAACTAAATATGCTCAATACAAGTATATCGCCAACATGTCACTTCATTTCGGTATGCTAATTTTCCGAGAAAAGTTGTTATTCTATTTGACAGGAAAACAGGATTCAAAAAATGGTGAAAAGTTTCGTATAAATTCAAAAGTAATAAGAAATATGAAGTCAATTTAGATTAATTCGAAAATACGGCAAATAGCAAACCCGTGAACAGGTATCCATATGATTTCTGAATCTTAGCCGCCACATCAGAAATTTTGCTACAACTCTTCGACGCTGCAATCTTCGAGTGTTTCTTGCGTAGTTCGCGCAAACGAGATCGACCGTCCACTTTTAGAAAAACAACTATCGGACAATACTGCGCGTATAGCAATTTCTCGACGGAGCTTGGTGTCACGTCCAAGATACAGTGTTTATTTTTGTTCATTACCTAGAAGCAAAGAGTTCTATAAGTTAGCTCGTCGCCAGATAGCTGCTCGAACCTCTCTGATGTTCTTGAGACGAACGATGCCAGAAGCCTTATTTTCGTCCATTACACTTGATTCCACCTGGGCAGCGGCGAAGTCGCGAGAGGGGTCTTGCAAAAGCTTCTCTCGAGCGATGTCCGACAAGCCACCGTAAATAATAACAGGTCTGAAATGGGACTTTAAAATAAACGAAGAGAACATAGAAGTAATTTACCGCCTGAAGCCTGGATGTCGCAGACGAACGCGTTCATAAGGAGGGAATTTAACGGTTCCATGAGAGAAAACGACCTCGTCCCAGTGAGCCTTAGTCAACGACTTTGACCGGCGTCCGTTGGTGATCTTCCGCCGCATCAGCGTTGAAGTCTTATGCTCACAAAAATCAGCGCTCCGTGGCTGGTCGAGAAGGTAATTGGGATGATGTTCCGCGCTAGAAGTACATTACAAAGCAAAAAGCGAAATGACAATAAATAACTGATGGTGAAATTCGACATGACCTACGTAAGAGAAAACGCAGAGTACCATAGTTTCACGGCCACACGAACCTGATAAACGCCACGGATCGCTTCTCACACAAAAATATCAACAAAAAGCGAACAATCGACTCGTAGATATGACTTTAAAATAATTACGCGAATGAAACTCATTCATTACAATTATAACGCTTTATCCACACCGAATGCCATGATTGTGGAGACGGAAGAAAAATCCAGTCAGTTTCGACGGCCGCTTATCCTCCATGGTCATGGAGGCAGCAGCATCATACTGTGCCAAACGTTTTGGAAGGAAATAACCTGGATAGACGGGAGCAAAGTTAGTTGGATCCAGATTATTCTTAGACTTCCCCGGAGTTTTCGGCTAGATGCTCAAGTAAGTAGTAGCTGCTTCACTTGCTTTTCAGCAAGCATGCACAATAAGTGCCGAAAAACGCACCTGTGACTTCCTAACCTAGCGGCTGGACATCAAGGCTTCACAGATATTTTCACCCCGGACTCTGCGGAGGCCAGTGAGAACGGACAGCGACTCCGTCGTTAACAAGTGCCTTGGTAATCTTCATGTCGATCTTCAGCAGCCATCGTCGTGCTGCCGTGCTCCCAACTGCTGGAAGACGTGAAGAGGGTTCCGATCGTCAAAATTTTGCAGTTTATCTGTTTCTCAAGAGCCTCGGTTGCTATTGGCTAAATGGGCGATGACCAAGCCAGTAGAGTGTTCGATGTTCTCAATGTCACTAAGAAGGTGATTAAATTTAACGGCAGACTTTGTCAGGCTTCACAACCCTTATCCTTTCTCCACTGGGCTTGGGATCAGCAACGGCAGAAAATGAAGGAAAGACTTTAAGAAAAAATTAGCAGCAATACCTAGTAGCATTCGGGATCACACCTTTACATGGGTTGACTTCAGCTTTACTACCAGACGAAGGGGAAGACACGCGAACAACTTGCCATTTGCCAACAGTACCACCAAAAAGTGTGTCGGTAACTTGGAAAATGTCGCCTTTGCTGAATGCCAAGTCACCATTCTCTGGCTTATCACAATTGAAGTGCGTTCTAAACAGCTATTAACGGCATGAACGCCAATGCCAACACATTGCCGCGTACCTTATAAAGAAGCTGTCGCCTATGTTTTGACTCCTGATGTAATCGTATTCCTCCTTTTTGTACTGCAGCAGCATTTCAACCTGATCCTGAAGAGCCAGCAAGAACAACACCGCTTCTTCGCGTGTCACAGCAATCATTCCTTTGTTGTTAACCTTAAGTTCAGCCATGCTTTCAAAACACATCGAAGGAAACACGTCAATACGTCACACACCCGCAAGATTTTGTCGCCCTGCTTAACGCCTTTCAAAGCGGCCGGCGAGTCTGGTTGCACTGCCGACACGAAAATGCCGACCTCGTTGCCGCCAATAACTCGGATACCAACGCTACCTCCTTCTTTGTTGAAGGAGACGACGCGTGCATCAGAACTAAAACGCGTGAATTACGTTATCTCTGAACGCCTTCAGCGGTCTTACAGGTTTGGAGATGCTATTCTGGCCTTCGGAGTGACTACAGCCGAATGAGCGTCAGCGGATGTTTTATCGCCTGAAACAACAGAGACATGGCTAATCGAAAAACAGAAGTTAAAGACTTTTCATTGTATCGCAGCACGGCGTGACGGTTCTGGACGAAGACGGACCTGCAAATGAATTCGTAGCTACACACACGCACGAATTCGTAATTTTAGTTACAGGACAAGGACAAGTCGTCCGCGAGAGTTTGCGATCGAAAGTCCATACTGCACTGGTTTGAGCTTGACGGAGAATCCAAAATCGGGGGACGACACAGTCGTTCACAGTATCTAAAATGGAGATGATCATGATGCGCTACGTGATACGATGATTCATTTGCATATCACCTCGCTATCTTGCTCTGCCGACTGGCGTTTTCAGAGTCGCTGATCTTTGAAGAAATCATTGGACTGTGCCGCGGAGTAGGACTGTGGATTGGTGTATCTGACAGAAGACCATGGATTTTCTGCTTACATTCAGCAATGAATTGTGGCGTTCTTACCTGCAC